TTAAGTATGCTGGGATGGGGGATGGGAAAAGCATTTGCCTCCCTCAAAGATTACTATGTGTGTCGTCCCCTTCATTGGCTGCGCAGTGACACTGCCTGTTTTGAGTGATGCAGAAGCTGATTTCCTGCCCCGGCCTCCTCTGCTTTTATGACAATGACTCTAACATCTTTATGAACACTACGTGGCCTGTGTTATGCATGCTGCAGTAGTCGTATGAGCTAAGAGCCTTGACTCATGTCAGAAGATCCAATACAAAGTTTAAGCTTCAGAAGTCTTTCCTCCCGCTAAGGATCTGGAATGCTTTCAAATGCACATGTGAGTCAAACCTCTTCTCTACTCTGACTATTCCGTAGTGGGCATAGCAACAGAAGGCAATATAGAAGACACTAAAACAACCACTGCAGCAAATCCTCACTACCCTACAAAATATTTAATGTGAAAAATGTTTATTAGTTATTATAAAATAAATCAACCAACTTTTCTTTGGGGCAAGAAGGTACCACTAGTAAAGAAACAAAAGCAACAGTAAAAAGGGTTAATTAAAAACTGGGGTGGATGGTTTGCTTCCCCCTGCTACATGTGCGGTATAAACTTGTGCATTTATTCTGTGCCCACAGCACTGGTTTCTGCTCCAATTTTCTGGAGTGGATTCAGGGCTGTGGTAAAGTACCAGTGAAAATGAGGTTGTAAATATCCCTTTGAATGATACACATAAAAGAATTTAAATTACCAGAGGGAGACACTAGAGACTTTTAAAAGTGCTGTAAAATTACCCACAACTCAGGGAATCTCTCTGAAAATTAATCTCAAATCAGGGAATTTCCTACTGGAACCTGATATGGCCTCTATGTCCCAGGTGAAAAACCCATTTTCCATACATTTGAAGTCTCTCCTTGTTGTGTGTGTGCGTGCGCATACAGAATAGTTGAGGGTGCATTAAAGAGGTGTGTTTCCATGAAAACTTAGCTTTATACAATGACTGGGGCTAAATTACAGGTAGGATAAGAAGTTAACACCCTAACCTGGCTGATGAGTAGGAAAAGCAGTAACTTTTCTGATGATCTCAGATAACAGGGAAGTGTGACACTTTAAAATGTCTTGTCCTCACACTGGGAACACAGGACAGGACAGAATCTATCTAGGGGACTGGGGGACAGCAGTACTGAAACTATCTTGGCAGGCTGAAGTTTGTGTTGAGGGGAGGAGCCTTCGTGCACATTAATGTTTTGGAGAGATGTGACTTCTTACATTTTTAGTTTGTACCTCTGTCCATCTCCAGCCCCACCTTATACACACATTCTGAATGGGACAAGGGGACAGGGACTTGGGCGAGATTGACTCAGAGAAGGTGATGTAGCTAGGGGTGGGACTTTCAGATCAATAGCCCCCTCTCCTCCCCTTTTCCACTGGCTGGAGTTAATGCTGCTGCTGTTGCTGCTTTGTCAGTGTCAGTGTCTTCCTAGGCTCTGTGCAGTGCAATTCCAATTTCCCTAGAGCAGCAGCTTCTTCAATCTACTGGACTCCAGCAGCCAGTTCAGGACTTTATTTCCTTTTCTACAAGTGGCTGATCCCTAGTGTTTCACGGGATAGAGTATTTGCTCTCACCACAGTATCCCTGTAAGTATTTCATGTCGTTACTTAAATTATTTCCTTTGTGAAACTTATCTGTCCTGTGCTGAATAGTGGCAGTCGTTAGCTCATGACTTGTCAAGTCCCAGTCAGGAGCTGTTCTAGGGTTTGCTCCTGGTTCAGGGGTTCAGATGGCAATTGACTTTTGTCATTTTTGTTTTCTGCTTTTGGCAGCTGATAAAAATCAGTGGTGACTTCAAAGCTGCTGTTTTACTGCTTCATAACCAAGGCACTTACATGTCCTTACTGCACCAGTGAAATGAAAGTAAGGAAGATACATAATTTCATCCCTGTTTTACTGAATACTTCTTTCTAGTAATACAGGCAAGAACAAACATTCAGAGAAACTTGATCACATGCTTACAAAATGTTACTGTGCAGAAGAAGATTTAACCAACTGACCTTTAACCATAGATAAAAAGGAAAGGTTTAGAACAGAATTAGATTCAATATATTAGTGGTTATCTAGCCTATGTAGTGAGGGTGAATAAGGGACTGGTTGCCAGCACTTTGAAAAATGCTGTGTTACTATTATTATTATTGGCTCACAAAATTATTCTGGTTGGAAGGAAACCCAGTTGGGAGACACAACAAATTCCTGGGACCCAGTGTAAAACTTTCTTTGGCCCAAATCACTATTTTGTACTTACCTGATACCTCTGAAAGTTGGTAGCACACATACTTCTTTGCTGTTTTTACTTTGAGAATTGGTAAGGGACTATCTGACTACAGTGAAAAATGTGGTTATAAATGCTGTGACAAATAAATCTGCAGGGTGGAATTTAGGTGAGATACCAAATGAGGGAAAAGGTTTTCAAACCTTTACTATCATCTATCTTTTTCCTCAGTCTCGTATCCTTATGTATCTGTACTCCCCCCAGCCTGTTGAGAGGAGGGGCTAAGAAAAACATACAACCAGCTAAAGGACAGTGAGCACAGAACAGGGACAATGTAGATGATCCCTGCCTCAGAACTAAAAGTTGGATAATGGTTTAACTGAAGCGTCTAAAGGATGTTTTGCCAGTCCCATTGCTACTGCTGGGTTTGAGACAGTTCTCACAGTCTTTTACTTCTTTTTAAACTTTTCTTTTTGGTGCCACAGCTGAAGCCATCCTGGGCTGCTGCATTCCAAGTGTTAATTAGCTGGTGCTTAACGCTGGTGCCTGGGACTTGGAAATCAGTGACAAAGTTGCATTCTGGGCCAAGCTGCTCTCCAAGAGAAGAAGCTGGTGTTACCGTCCGACCCTAAAACAATCAATCTCATCACTGGATATAATCACAATACTGAGCATGCAATGCCTTTCTGTAAGGCTTGCAAAGTGCTTTAAAAACATTAATTCTTCTCACAATCCTGTAAAGTAGCTTCATATTATTATACCCATATTATATAGAGATAGTAAAAAAAAAAAGAGGCTCAGCTAGGTTGTGACTTACCCAAGGTCACATAGCAAGTCTGTGGCAGTGCTGGAAATAGAAACCAGATCTGCTTTCTCCCAACTGTTGTTTGAAAACTACAATGAAGGGCTCTTCCAAGACACTGCTCTTATGGACATGTGTAATTACTGAGTCATCCAAATCACGATAGTGTATGTTTACTCTGGAGAGACATAATGAACAGCTCAACCTTAAAAACTCCAGCCGGCAGATCTGCCTGTATTGTGAGAGTAGGCTAGCAGAATTTGAGAGAGTGACCTCTTCAGGCAGTCAGCAGAGGAATAATAAGGTTCTCTTGACTGAATCCGAATTGTTCCCCAAGTGGTTGGACAGTTAACAGTTTGTATATCCCTGAAACAACAATAGCAATTTAATATACTTCATTGCGTATTGGTGTTTTCCTATACTTCGTGTTAAGGTTCTGAGGCCTGTGACTCTTGGGTTCAAATAGAGTAGATGGCTCTAAACCTTGGGGGAGAGACGACCTATCATGTCAAAAAAATGGAAAGGCTCTCATTGACTTCAATGAGATTTGGATTAGGCCAATAAGCCATAATTAACTTGGTCTGTGCAAATCATTTTATTCCACCTGTATTCAAGCACTGGGAATATGTGGATGCCGAGGAGAATAATTGTTGAATTAAAATACAAGTTGCATCACAGTGGAACAGATTTCCTTTTAAAGTGTGCTTCATTTGGATTTGAATAATAATTAAAAATTAAAAAGACACAGAAACAAAGATATTATGTACTGAAACAAATCAACAGTGTTCTTCCTATTTACAAGGTACTTCCTGGCTCCAGCTCTTTCATCTCATCTCCCAGCTGCTTTCTTAGGTATGTCTTCAGTGAGAAACTTCAGACCTGTAATTTTCCATCAGTGTAGCTCAGTCAATGGTAACAATAGTGGAAGCTATAGGACAGAGAGGACTCAGGTGTTTTAACCATTGTGCAATCTCACCCTGTTCTGAAAGACAAGGTAAGTGAGGTGATATCTTTTATTGGACCAACTTCTGTTGGTGAGAGAGACAAGCTTTTGAGCTACACAGAACTCTTCTGCAGGTCTGGGAAATGTACTCAGTGTCACAGCTAAATACAAGGTGGAACAGATGGTTTAGCATAAGTAGTCAGATAGAGATGCACCTGTGGAGAATTTCAGGTCAGAATTTTCACAGTGTAGATCAGCTCACAATGGCTGTATACTCTGTAGTGTTTGGCTTTTCATTATGACTGGTGGGGTTGCTACTCTTTGCCTCTCCCATTCTGCTCTCTCTAGATATCTAATATTTTATGCATACACGTTAGAAAAAACTATAATAAGTGTTTGCTTAATTTCAATGCAATACTAAAAGAAGACAGCCTTGGACTTACTCTTCCCTCTGCTATGGCTGGAAAGCCTCATTCTGTGTGCAACAGTCTACTCTTTGCCCTGTTACTGCCAGTCTGAATTGGAATGGTTAGTGACTGACAGAACTGCCAGCAGCGTAGATTGTTTATAATCCTGATACTTGATTACAATAATTTTAAACATGAGTGTTATAATTCTTTAAATCTCTACTAATAATTGAACAACTAGCAGAGAGGCAAGGTGGTCTAAACACAGGAGTGGTAGATGGGAGCTCCTGAGTTCTAAGACCAGCTCTGAGGCCAACATAGTCTGTGACTATTGGCAAGTCATTGAACTTTTTTATCTCAATTGTTCCATCTGTGAAATGGAGTTAATAATACGTAGCTACTTTGCAAGCATATTGTAAAGCATATTGTATTGGTTAATGTTTATACTACTGCTTGGAAATGAAAAGTGCTCTATAAATGTTAAGTGTTATGCATGACCACAGTTCATAAATCATCTTAGGGATACCTTTTAAAGTTATGTGAGAAAGGATTAGAGAAGGGCAAAGTTACTATTGTTTTTATGTCCTTTCTTTTAGGTACCAGTGTGAATCATGGACTCTGTGTGTAGAAGAAGGTGGTACCTTCAATTGGGCTGTATATTGATAGTGAATTTGGTTTATGCCAATCCAGAATATCAGAAAGAACCTCCTGGAAGCCTGGGTGAGATTGACCATCACTGCTGGGAGATCTCCTCTCACAGGCTGGTGGAAATGAAGAAACTCAAGGTAGCAGATGCTATCATTGCTCTCTGGGATTTCATGATGTTCCTAAAAGAATCACCAAAGGCCAAACATAATGAACTCTTCAATGACTTAGCCCAGAACTTCTGGGATATGTATGTAGACTGTGTGCTTTCAAGGTCCCATGGAATGGGTAGAAGACAGTTACTATCTCCCAACTATTTTTCCACATACCCACAGAGAACCTCACAAGGTAACTCTAATGTACAATACTAACCAATTAAATACAAGCCTTTAAAGCCATAATATTGTTCCAGCCTTCGACTGTCTATTTTTCAGACAACTGAACACAATAATTTCTAGTTTTCTGCCCATCTTTCTTTATCAAATCCTTTGCAAAGCCATTTTAATCATAATTGATATCCTTCTTTCCTTTTACATTTATAGTGCATCAAATTTTGGAGAATTTTGTGTGTTGTTCAGATTGTGCTAGATCATATATGCCCATATAACGCTACTATGTACTCTATTCATGGCAAATTGGGCCATAATTACTTTCTTAAGCTATTATATTTTTACTAAGGTTTTTCTTAAAAGGGTCTGTGTGAATTTAGTGCTCATAAAAGCTCATCAAGTGAAACTAACAAGGTTGGAGACTGAATTCTTCTGTTTATTCACAGAACAGAGGTAAAAGAAATAGCAACAGTGAAATCTTCATAGCAATTATGCTTCACCTCTGACCTGGAGAAATTATCTCTAGGAGAGATTCCCTGTCCAGATTCCCTGTCCATTCAAGTCTCATCCTTCCCACTGACACATACTATTAGGGCTTATTTTTGTAACATGGACACCTGGCCACTGAGAACTGCCAAATGGTAACAAATTCACTGGTCACTGTTGCTTTTGGGGGGATTTGAACTGGTAGCCTCTCGATGACCAGCTCTATATCTTATTAACCAATCCCCAGAGATAGCTTCGCCCCAAAGTAATATAACCCCAGTAGATTTTTTTTTACAGTGGCAAAGAGTTTAGATTGAACATGACACACAAATTGAATAGACCAAAATAAAAAATATCACATAACCCTAGCATTCCTAAACAGATTGCTAGGATAATAACTAGCCCTCTTTTCTAATCTTGCAGGGTCAGACTTCTCAAAACATCAGTTTTAGGCCAAAATGGGAGAAAAATGAAGATACCTCAGCAAGATGACATCAAACTGAAGGAAAAGAGCCTGCTTGTCAAAAGCACAGCCTGTACTGTAATTGTTTATGAGCATTGTTCCTTTGATGGGTTTTGAAATTTTGTTTTATGTTGTATGAGCACATGATAATTGATAAGTACTTCAGGTGTGTGTTACCAACATGTTCCCCTTTCTTTAAATGTACCAAGGTTGCCTCCCCCCCCCCCGCTGCACGTGTGAATGCTTTATGTATTTTGAGTCAATATCTGTGTTCTCTCAGGTAAACCTGTTTAAACTAGTGTTATATTTTTGTAGACATTCATCTTTCAAATAATTCTTTTTTAAAATGTTAACTGCAATGGAAACCCAATATATTTTTATACATTAAACAACAGAGTGAAATGGCAACAAGCATATTTTATACAGTATCTTGCATATGAAATGGATTTCAGTTTTAAGATCTGCAAAAAAGTACCAATATCAACCCAAAGGGAGAGATTATGCTTGATGTAGTGTCTTGCGCAGCCTCTAAGTTTGTGTTTGATCACTGCTTGATCTTGGTTATAGTTTAATTAAAATATTTTTCTATGCAACAAGGACTGAATAATAGTCACGGTCTCGTACTTGTCCATTTGTGTAGCTGATTAGTTACAAATTCAGTACATATATAATATAAAAAAGGGACAGTTACGTATTTTGTATAAGATTAGCATGTGCCCTATGCACACAGGTGAGAGTAAAAGGGGTGCAACGTATCCCACACGTGGGCTACTTGCATTGCAGGTTGCAGTATAGTGGGAGAGTAGCCTCAGGCAGATGGGCATGGAGTGGAGAATGGATGGAGTCTTGCCTCCACTACAAGAAACCAACCAGCACAGTAGAGCTGGCAAAGAGGGGGCAATAACCGACTATCAGTCTCTTCCCAAGCAAGGGGAACTTGGTAATGAATTGTGATTCTCCAAGTCAACACTTGTTTTCTGTTTTGCTCCTGGAGCCGTGAGACTTATGGCAGAATGTTAAATCAAGGTCTATCCCTTTACAGGGATGGCACTGGGACAGCCTGGTGGGGGCTATAGCCATCCCAAAATTTGCCTTAGCCCCCCCTGTAGCCACCCCTCCCGGTGCAAAAGTCAAATGTTACACAGAAGTAAGGGTGGCATGGTATGGTACTGCCACCCTTATTTCTCTGCTGCTGCTAGCAGTGGCACTGCCTTCAGAGCTGGGTTGTTGGAGAGCGGCGGCTGCTGGCCAGGTGCCCAGCTCTGAAGGCAGCACTGCCACCACCAGCAGCGAAGAAGTAAGGGTGGCATTGTATGGCATTGCCATCCTTACTTCTGCAGTTCTGCGCTGCTGCTGGCTCTGACTTCTATCAGCACTGCCCTCAAAATACTACTGGGCAGAAGCAAAACAAGTGTGATTTCACTGGGCTAGGAATTTGACAAGATTCTCCTGATTAAAGTGGAAAATGTCCAGAAGGCTTCCCCAAATCCCCAATCACTGCCTTAAAATTTACAACCTTCTTACAAGGGCTGATGGGCCTTCTTGTGCTGGGAGAGGATAACACTCCAGATGCTGAGTGCAAAGAAGGATATATTTTTGTGAAGTCTTAAAACTCCAGACTGCTTGAAGTCAATTTTTACTCACCTGAAAAGGACAAACTCTTAGAATGGCTGTAATATTTTTTGTTATCTATATCCCAAGCCCTGGGACTTAAGTCTGAAAAGAACTAGCATACGTGTGACACAGTTACCAGTTGAGTAACCTGCAGAATGGGGTGGAGTGATTCTTAGGGCATATTTGTAAAGGGTCTTTACAATGGGTGAGTGATGAGACTCACTAGAGGCTCTTGCAAATGTGCCATACTACAGTCTGGATTCCAGTGTGCACCAATCCTGAATTTGCTTCAGTTTGAACTGCTTCCAAAACTGCGTGAGATATGACCCAATCCATTTGCCTTAATACATGTGGTTTCATTTGCTTTGTGCGCTTGTGCTGGGTCTAGGACCCCGCGGGGTGGGAGGGTCCCAGAGATCAGGCTCCAGCCCGTCCCTACACAGCAATGAAACAGCCCTGCAGCTTGAGCCCCGTGAGCCCGGGTCAACTGGCAGGGGCCAGCCGGGGGTTTTCCTTTGCCGTGTAGACATACCCTTGGAAAGCCAGTGAACAATGCTTATGTTAAAAAAATTAGCTGAGGATTCTGCAAGGCATCAGATCAGCAAGACCTTTCAAAATAAATTTGTTTATTTCTAAAACAAAAGTTGAATTTTTACTACAATCCTCATTTTGGCTTAACGGCTATAGCTGGAGTATGCTTCTTTAGAGACCCAATATAGAAAGCTGGATCAATTTTTTGCCTTATAGAGCCCAATTTATCTGAGCTTTCTAACTTGGCCATATAAACAGTCCAGTACTGATCCAGGGTTTTTCAGTGAATAAAAAAGGTGACTTTAACTATAGTTCATTTACATAGGTGTAAAATGCATTCACACTCATAAGGTCACCATTTATGCTCATTTATATCAGCACTATTTTTGAACTGAACAACAGTTGCAATGCACCATACATATTTTAAAGGACTCCATACTGCAGTGTGCAGGGAGTCCTCAACTCTCATTGATTTCAACTGGAGATGAAGGGACTCAACACCTTGCAGGATCAAATCTAATATTTTTTTATACTCTGATGCACTTGTCCCAATGCAAAGTGGTCTCTGATATCTTAAGAAACTATATAATATTGACTATACTAATATGCTAAAAACAAGTCAAAGGTACAATTATAATAAGTTCAATAATGCCAAGGCATGTATTATTATTCGTACATGGAGTACTTCACAAACAAGTCCTTGACCCAAGTAATTTACAATATAGTGTAAACAATCAATTCAAATGGGACTTTATTGTCAGGACAAGTTAGCCAAAGAACATTGACAAAAAGGATGAAGTTGATTGGAGGAGGCTGTTCTAAGCATAAACGGAAGACATTGAGTGAAGTGTGTGAGAGAACGAAGGATAAAAGATTGGACAACCTGTGGGTGAGGGGGATGAGAGAAAAAGTATTGGTGAATTATTGGAAAATTCATACCTAGTCTACCAAAGCAGCATTTTACACCTAGAGAATAAAAAGTGAATGGTGCTGAGGTGCAGAACAGGAGGAATCATGGGAAGGTTTAAAACAACAACTAATACAAGAGCCAGTGTTAAAGGTCTATGCACCAGGAAGGCCTATTAAAATTTCAGCAGATGCTTCACAGTCTGGGTTAGGTGCAGTGTTTTTACAGAAGCATGAGGCTTGTTGGCAACCAGTGATATATGCATGCAAAATCACTGACTGAGAAAGAAACCATATATGCACAGATTGAGAAGGAGCTTTTAGGAATATTGTTTGCCTGTCAGAGAGTCAATCAGTATATTTACAGCCAGATAGTGGAAGTTGAATTGGACACAAGCCCCTGATAGTGTTATTTAGCAAACTGCTAAATGACTGTACCTTAAGGCTTCAAAGAATGATAAAGCTGCAAAAGTATGATTTGGTTGTGACCTACGCACCCGGTAAATTCACATTCACTGCAGATGCACTTTCCAGAGCAGTGACTTCCACTACGAGAAGACTTTAGAGACAGAGATTCAAGCCTATGTAGATCTGATTGTAAAGTCAATTCCCATAGCTAACAGGAAACTGCAACAAATAGCAGGAGAAATACTGAAAGATGAATCATTGGGGATCCTTAAAGAAGTGATCATTAAAGGGTGGTCTGAAAAATAAGTACCTGCCATCCAAGTATAAGTCTATTGGAACTGCAGACATGAATTTACTGTGATAGATGGGGCGATTTTCAAGGGCAGTAAGGTTGTAATTCCAGTGTGCCTCCAAAAAGAAATGCTACAGAAGATCCATGACGGTCATTTGGGAATTGAGAAGTGCAAATAAGTGAGCACGAGAGGTGCTGTATTGGCCATGGATCAATCATGACATTACTAATGTGGTAAGAAATGGCTTTTCATGCTTGAAATACAAGCCATGGCAACAGGCAGAGCCACCGAGACCTCATCAAGTTCCACAAGGACTTACGAGAAGGTAGGCACTGACTTATTTACCTGGTGATCAAAGGATTATTTAATAGTTACAGATTATTATTCTCTGTATCCAGAAATTTGCACACTGCACAGTGCTAATAGTAAGTCAGTAATAGTGAGCATGAAGGGAACCTTCTCCAGACATGGAATTCCAGATGAAGTCTTTAGTGATAATGGGCTGGAATTTTCCAGTGCAGATTTTAGGCAATTTGCCATAGATTGGGATTTTCATCACAAAACATCAAGTCCAAATGACCCCCAATCACATGGACTTGTGGAAAAGTCTATTCGGTCAGTAAAGAACTGTATGAAAAAGATTTTGATAGTGGGGGCAGCTTTATTGGTTTACGGAACTACACCCCTGGAGAATGGCTTTTCTCCAGCTCAGCTGTTAATGGGAAGAAGGATCAGATCTAATATACCAATTACTTATTACTTGCTGAAATCTCATAACAATGAAACCATATGGAAAATGAAAGAAAATCAGAAGTGGAAGCAGAAATATTATTTTGACAAAAGGGCCCGTGATCTCCCATCTCTTAAATCAAGAGATGGGGTGAGCCTGAGGAATGACACCTCTAGTACTTGGGGCCAAAGGGGTACCATTGAAGAACAGCTGCATCCGAGGTCTTATGTAGTCCAGAAAGATCGGGGGACACATTTTGACATAATCGAAGGGATCTAAGAGTCATCCCAGAAAGTTCCAAAACATTGACAGAATATGTGGACTTTGGCATTTCCCCAGAGCCGCCGGGGGGGGGGGGGAGGGATAAGGGGGGAAATTTGCCCCAGGCCCCAGACCCCGCAGGGGCCCCCACGAGAATATAATATTCTATAGTATTGCAACTTTTTTTATGGAAGGGGCCCCTGAAATTGCTTTGCCCCAGGCCCCCTGAATCCTCTGGGCGGCCCTGCATTTCCCAACTGACTGATCATTTATCATCAAAGGGGAAAGTGTCAAGAAACAAGAGAACAACTCAGACTCTAGTGAAAAGCTGATACTGAGAAGATCAGAGCAGGAGATTAAATGTCCTGAAAGACTCAATAACTTGCTAACCTGCCTAAAGAAGGGGTATTTGAGGAAAGTGAGTGGTAAAGACTCCAGAGTGATGTGCTGGTAACGTCTCCTCTCTAGGTAGTTGACATATCGGGTTTATAGAAATGTACTAGATGGGCTGAGAATTTAATGTATGTGTTATTAGATAGTTGATAGCTGGGCGCACACACACACACACACACACACACACACACGATTGGCAGGGAGCTTGTATGTGCCAGATCAGGCTAGCACAATGACTCTGGTGCTGGAACCAGTCCCCAAGGGGCTTTGCCCCCACAGCAGCTGCAGCAGATCCTGGGTGCTTACCTGAAGGAGCTCCCCACACCAGGTGCAGTCTGCCACAG